TTTACATCGAGTAGCCTTTGCATAGCAAATTACGAAGCTTAAGAAAGATGGGAGCAAGTTAACTGTACTCCTGCAGTCAAAGCCGTATTATTCCTATTAATTAGTTGTAATAATCATCTGATGCCCAGAAGAGCGAGACTTTTCTCGGAACTCTATTAGAGTGTTGAATTCGCGTTACATTGCTTATTCTGACTCTAGGTATAGTCGTTCGAAGAAATGTAGCGAGGTCGTAAATTCTTTTTCTATTGAGACTTGAAGCTAATCGGGACACGCAGCCCCAAAATTTCAACCCCCAATCTTCTCAAGTTTCCCGTCGATCCGCTTGTCAATATCCTTAAACATGTAAACTCTAACGCAAGATCTCGCTATATTTCTTTCGCCGACTATACTCGTTACGTCTACACTTGACGAAGGCGGGATCTCATCTCGTGCTTCTTCGATCACAGCATTATCAGCTCGGTGATGGCTTCCTTCTGCAAAGACCGGATCCTTTCTCAATAACGAACGAGAATCCTCGCTCGTTTTGCATAGATTCATCTATTCGCCGACCCGCGTCAAAGCCAGGGACAATTAATGATAGTTCGGCGAGGATTCGCTTCTTTCGTAACGGCAAAAGAAATAATTAGTCACAGGGTAGATACTCCGAAGAAGTTCTCATTAACGAGGAAACGTGTAACGAATGTAGTATAGATACAGAGAGGATATTCTGTTATGTTCCCCTCGATCCTTGATCTATTTTACCACGGACAGAGGCGAGAGGAGTATCGTGAGAAGAACTGATAATTAAAGAACATTGCTGCGCGGCGGTAATTATTATAGAATCTCGACTGAAGTTTTGAATCGCAGCGGGGATCGATATCGTTGTAAGAAGAGCCGAGGAAGGTGGATATAAATGAAGCTTTGCGATGAACGAGCTGACCGGGAGAGAATCAAACGCGACTTATTTCATTCGAATCGTGCAATTCAATCGCGAAAATTGATACTCGGTAGGGTGAAGTTAAACGGGGAGTCTGGAATATCAATCAGGCGGACCGTCAAAATTCCTCGCGATTACAAATCACTTGGATCGTCTGATAATTAAGTACGGAATAATTCCACCTTCTTTTTCCTTTGAAAGTCCTTGTCCGGTCGCGTAGCCCACCTTTAAATTAAACAGTCCTTTCCAGCCTTCTTCCTAGCCCCCAACAAATTCCTTTTCTACCCTAAAGAAGTTCAAGACGCATCCTGGTCGTGTTTACTATCCCTTTACCCCCTCCGGGTTTTCCACAAATTATTTTGTTGCGTACAGTCCTCTTTCCCAATAGTCTGCTCCACAGCGTGCAACGTTATTTCTACGCGAAAAATCACCCTCTCGCGGCTGCACCGCAGATAATAACGAAACACGTGAAAATACTCCTCCGGACGTTTCGACTATTTCTCCGTCGCAGCTCTCCTACGAGCGTCCACTTTCCATTAGTATCACGATATTTACCTGCATTGCGCAGAACGCGGTAAACGGGTATACGGGCGCATTTTTCATTAAAGGGGGATAAAATTGGGTAGAACGGGGCGGAATGGCGTGTCCTGCGTGATTTCCTCGCGCATTCTGTTCGCACCGCCAATTTCGTGGCCACACTCCCATGTGAATGGGCTCGAGCCATCGTACCGTACAATCTTGTCGTGCTTTATTGCAGTCATGAGACACGAGCAGGTAGTATATAGAGCAGGGAAAGCTAGCGCGGGATAGGAATAAGGGAAGCAATGAACGGCGACAAAAAGCCAGGGGGATGAGAGAGAGATTCAACCTGGTTCGTAAACACCATTTTTCATTTTCTAAAGGAGAGTGGAAGCTCGCGTTACACGCACATATGGTCGCATAAATTTTTATTCGTTCCGAAAAACCGAGTCAAATATCAGCCACTCTGGGTCGTACGCTTACGAGGATCGTTCAAACACTCTTTGCTTGTTTTTTTCGAGCCTTTCAAGGATAACATTCCAGGCACACCCGGTATCTGCCGTTGCGGTTCAAGTATACCTTCCAGGCACATATCTAATTAGATTAACGCTCAACCGTAGGTTACTTTATATTTTTCTACAGAAGATGGATAACTTTCGTATTACGAAATTGTCCTTCTTTTTTATCTATATTACGTATCTTCTTTTGGGAAAATTCATCGGTAGATTCAGCGTTAAACAGGTCAGACTTCGCCGGTGGAAAGAGACGTTTTCTCTTGTGGTTGTTTTATTTAGAAGGATGTCGCGCGGTGTTTAATTTTCCACATCTATCGTGCACCGGTGGCAATTTCGATATCCTTTTACAACCGCGTCTGGAAAAATATGTCTCTTAAGTTCCCCTGTAAAAAATATCTCGCTCGTTCGTGTAATTCCCTTCGTACACCACCTAAAAGATTAAACAAGCTAGTCGCAAGACAGTCTTGCTAGTCAGGATCATCTTTTACGCTGCCACGCCACGCTCTGGTCTGTTATCTCGGACGGAGGAAGCAGATGGTACACAACCGTGAAGTTGATTTTCAACGACGGCAGAGACGAAAGTGGATGGAACTGCAAGTCGTAGAAAGTTGTTATTGTTGTTAAATTACGGAGAGAAAAGAGAAAACGAACGTTCGTGTACAATCGTAAACATAGACCGCGCGAGACGTCGGAGAAATAAGGAAAAAAGGACGTTCAGAGAACCGCTTATGTTTTTTTGTTCGGGGGTTGTTTATAACGTGGCTTTTCACGCTCGTCAAGCTTCCTAGAAACGGATCCTGACGACGTTTCCGGCGAAACGGAAGGAGAAAAGCTTTGTACACCCTGTCCCCGATAAATCGTACCGGCACAAAGAATTCCTCCCTTCTTTCTCGAGGGGATAACCTTTTTAGCGTGGCCCCTAGCCCAGCGGCAAGAAGTTCACGACCTTACGGATGAATATTACAGACAGAGTGACCGCAAAGAGAGTCCCATTTTTGCGGTTTAAACGGGCGCTTCCTCTTTATCTTAGCTGGCTGTTCCCGTGGAATAGGACGGACTTAATTTGCAGCCCCTCCTTTTACTCCCGAACACTTCTAAGAAGAGGAACGATCGTTCCCTAGGTCTGCCTCCTTCGATTCGTCCTTAACGAGCCTCTCTCGATCCCGTGTTTCCTTTACCGTTCACGCGAAAGTATAAACTCAGAAGGGTTAATTGATCCGTAGTCCGGAGAGAAAGGGAATAATCGTCCGTTACGTTTCTCATGTAAATACAAATCGAAACGTTAATCCGTTTATCGGGGGACAACGATCGACGACGAGTCCGCCCCGATTGACGAAGCAACGTGCCAGCACATCCGAAACAAGGACGAATCGATGTCTCTTACGTAGCGATTAAGGGTGCACATCGATTCTCGTTTGCACGTGCCGCACCGGGAAAGCAGGACGAACGTGGAAATAGGGACGCAATCGAACTCGCGCATATCGCCGGCATTATTTGCCGTTAGATTAATAACCTGTCGCGACGGATGGCATCGAGCCGTTCTCTATCGTGGCGCTTCGCTTGTTTTGGTAATTTGCCAAAAGCGAATACTATTTTCCCACCACCGTCTCTCTCTCTCTCTCTGCCAGGTAAACGGAACCGGATGTGGGACTGCTCTTAGCAGAGGCAGAAGCAGCGATACTTGTTCGTGGATGCGAGTCCAGAGGCGAGGAAGAACGACTGGACCGGGGCAAATATACAGGCTTGAATAAATTAATCAACCATCTGGAGGGAGCGAGCGGTGACAGAGAGACGGAAGAACAGGAGGATATTAAATTTCTGTTAGGGTCGTACACACTGGATTCGAGCGTGGTTTATTGCAAAGAAGGTTAATCGAGGATTCGTTGAAATATCAACAAACAGAATTCTCGTTGGAAATTATTATTTGGAAACATCCCCCCGTTAATTAGACATATTTTATCGTACATTTTCCTGGCTAATTGGTACCGTGTAAACTGATATTTGATAGGAAAATTAATCGTTCGTATGTGGCGGGTTGGATACGGGTAAACGAAGAAGTTTAATCGACGATCGTATTAAACGAACAACGCTGTTCTTGGGAAATAATGGAAAGTAGGAATTGCGAATTGGAGTATTATACAAATTCGGAGCGAGGTAGAGTCGTACTTAGAGAAAGCTAGTTACCCTTGTCACACGTTTAACGAGAAAGGCAAGGCACGCCTTACCAGGAGGTGGATCGTGCGTGAGATATGATGTACACGCTAAATACGGGAAGGGCGGTGGCTTCCAGCGGGAGTGACTGAACTTCCTACGAATGAATTAATTAGCCTGGTGGAAGAGGAGACGGAGGCAGGGCAAAAGGGTGGAAAGCGATTAAGTCTAGGCGACGTGCCACTCTTGCGGCGCTGCGTATCCATGAAGCTTGGTTTTTGGCGCTAAGAAAGCTCTAGGAAGCCGGATAATTCCAGGCAGGAAACAACGACATCGGCGGAACGAACGGCGGGGGAGAGAGACAAGAGGTACGTAGCTAAAGCGTGTCACGATGCTTGTCAAATGTCATACTTGCCATCCATTTGCTTTGATAATGCGTTACAACGCACCATTCTACGATGAATAATTTCCCTCGTACCTGGGCTATGTACACGAGCGCTGCAAAGCCCCCGTTCTAAAGTGGCCCAGCTCACGAGAGCAGTACAATGGAGGTGCATCCGAATGGGTCTGCTAGTCGCAACAGTTGGAACGACAAACGAAGAGATCTTATTAAAGTCCCGCCTCGCCGTCCTTTTGCTACGTTTCCCTAAAGTTCCCCGAGAATCTTTCAAGTTTCACTCTGCCTTCGCGTTGACACACATAGAATGGAACAACTCTGGCCAACTGTTACGCGATGCTCGCTTACCAGTTGATAACGCACAAAGTGCTAACTTTTCCTTGCATAAACGAAGATACAGAGAGAAAGAGATAGAGATTGCAGCCGAGGCATTGGAAAATATTGAACTACCCGAGGAAAATCGCCGTTGCATTAACCCCCGATATAACGTTTGCTCACTCACATTGCAAGATTGATCTTCCTCGTCCCACCGGAAACGGCAGTTCACCCTCCCGTTGCACTGCAGCTCCGCCGCGATGCAAGTCGCGTCTTCGCAATAGTACTCGTCGTCCGAGCAGGCTGAAACACATCGATCGAAGAATAACGTCATTACACAATAGTACATCGGTGTCAGATTTTTCACCTCGCGTTGCCTGCGTACAGTTACGTTCACGCTGGATTTGAAAAAAAGAGGAAACGAAAAGGGCGATCCTTTAAACGTTTTTTTCCCGCGCCGGTGTTAAAGGAGCACGAACAAGGAACGTGACATTGGTCGGATAGCAAGTGGAACGTGCTTTGCGATAAAATGATATCAGTCTTATGTAGCAGAAATATACCGAGGGATTTTTAATCTATTATTCCCGGGATCTCTGGGAAAACTGCGAGAACGTTCACCGAAAACTCGGGGCAAGAAAATTTTCATTTAAAGTCTCTGAAAAGCGTAGCAGAGAAAGAGAGATAGGGAGAATAAGTGAATTTCGCTCGAGTCAAGTTACCGGTAAGGCATTAAATACTTCACGTGAGGGAGGATAGTAACCGTGGCATACTCCATTCAGCCAGGGTAGACCGCCATTAATACGTATAGAATCCAAATTCTTTCCGGAGTGATTATTCCGCGCGATATGAATCAGTTAAGCCGATTATCTCTTCTCGTGGATCATAGCTGTAATTATTGGCTCCAGAGCGTGTTCGATTCGAGCCAGGAATTCAACGAGATCTTCCACTTTTCAAATACCCTGTCTTTCTTTGTACAGCTCCCTTTTCCTGTTTTAAACGTGCATTGTTTCATTGTACTCTATACGATTCCACGATTCGAATCTTCGCTGGAAAGCTTCATATTTCAAAGACCGAGATTGAAGCGTAAGAAACTCTTTCATGGCTCGTTCATTCCGCGAGAAATCTCGTTTTTGATCGGCCAAGATTGACATTTTCATTTTCCAATTTACCACCGCTCGCGATGTTATCAACTTCTCCCTCCTTATTACTTAACGAGCTGCTACGAATCGCGCCTGTTCGTGGACCGTTTGCACGATCTAATATCCACCGATTTACAAACAGAGTAATGTTTTGTGTGTTCGAACGAACAGAGCGTGGCAATTATCTAATTGACCGTTCGTTCCCTCTTCCTCGCACTCTCCCTTTTTTCTTGCCCCCTCTCCTCGTTGCGTTTCGATTTGTTTCACTATACGATACACAGGGGACCGACGTTAATTGGTAAATTTCCATTAGACCGTATCTCTCTATTTCCAACGGGTTAGGAACACGCCCCACGGCGAACGAGGCACGACAGTGTTAAATTTAATGAAACTTAACATCGAAATTACTCGCGTGCATAGAACAAAGAGCCCGCGCAATATTCGCACGGCGTACAGCGTCTAATGGAAATGAAACTTTCTTGCCAAGTATTAGTGTACGCTCTATTACTGTCCGACACATCGTTGAAAAAAATATAATTAAATTATCTCGCCCCGCTGACAAATTCCCCTCGATCGACATTCGCTAAACTCGTCGATTTTCTCCTGCTTCCATCCCCCGCGCGACCTTACAATCACTTTCCACCCAATGGAAATTATTCCATCGAGCCGCAAGTTGACGTTCGAAAAATACGAGTAAAATAGTGCGATAAACGGAGAGTGTCTGGAAGCAACGCAATTAATGTCGCGAAATGGAAACTTTCTGTCGACCGTATTCGACGATTACCCTGTACGCGAGAGGCGGGTAAAATAGCGCGGGTACAATTGTAAAGCAAACAACGGCGGCAACACGATAGCGCGCCAGTTTGCAAGGACACGCGGTACTTGAAACGAATCTCGCGTGATTGTCCATTGATTCCGGTGAAATAATATTGTCACCGATGTATTGCGTGAACGAGCACGCGAAGGGAAAAGCTATCGGGCGCGGGAACACGTTGGACAATTAATCGAGGATGTTTGTGAACTCACGTTTGTCGCCTGGATCTCTGTCCCTGAGCGCTGTCATCACCGCCTCGAAGCTGCTGTTCAACGCTTTAGGCTCCGCGTAAAACCTGACAAAGGCGGTGTTGGTCCCGATGAGCACGGTGTCCGCTATACTGCCGCAGAAATTCTTCTCTCTCGAGGACATGTCAGTGCGTTCTTTGAATATGTCCACGAAGTTCGCGTCGCACTCGTTCGGTCGTTGCAGCTTGAAGGGATCGGAGAACGTCAGCTGAATCTGAAATTTGTACGTGTTCCAGCCGATAAATCCTTTCTCTGTCTATCTCCTTCTCCACCAGTTTCCATCTCTCCATCCCGATAATGAGTCGAACGCGGTAGGGAAAAAAGCCTCAGAAGCCTGTGCGTCAAAATTGCTGTCATTTCGTTCGACCGGGGAGAAGGGACTTGCCGAATACGGATCGGAGATCAAAGCTACTCCGACAAAGGGAAGTCTTTTTTCGTACTTCGAGAGGCAGGGAATTCGTTCGAATTGTACAGGTCCCAAAGATGTGACAGCAGAATGAAAATTAGCGAAATTCGTACCTTCCATCCCTCCTTCACCGTGATGTTCCACATGCAATCCAAAGGGATGCCTTCTTTCTCGGATAACTTCTTCCTGTCCAACACGTCGTCGCTGTTAATGATCGCCTCCATGCCGCTCACGTATGTTACGCAAGGTTCAGGTTCCGGCGGTACTCCCGCTGCGAATCATACGTATTACAGCATTACGCTTCAGGTCGGATAAACGACGATTTCCGTGGGAAAGCGCGACGATAAGCTGGGGCTCGTTTATGAGTGGCATGCTTGAAAGGAGAGCGCTTAGTCGAGAGGATTAACGAAGAGAATTAGAACCGAATGGTTTCTCTACCGTGGTTGTAAGATAGGTGAAGAAAAAGAAAAAGACAAGGTAACTGGCGGTGGAAAGCAACAAAAAATGGTGGAGCATTGTTCGCGATATAATTAATTTTCCATTTATCCCGTATATATTCCACCTTATAAAGTCCTGACGTTGGCGTAGCAAGCACAATGAACCTGGAGAGAGAGAAAATTAATCAAACGCTCGAAAAGATTCACTCCTCTCCCTCCCCCGCGTCTGATTAATTTCCCCTCTTGTCAGGTGCTTGAATTTGAACGGTCGTTACCGTCACAGCCGGCGGTTTTAATGTTTGCCCCCCCTCGTTAAGGATTGATTCGAGACGGTAAGCCGCGGGAGAGCGCGTTTTAGAGCGTGGTAAGAGCAACGCAATATTCAAACGGCATTCATCGCGTCGGACGGAGGCAAATTCGCGGAAATAATGAGCTGCACGAGGCGTCGGATGAATAACGCCGAAACGTGTTTCTGGTAATCGGGACGTATCAGCCTTTTCAGAAAAACTAGAGAAACGGGACGTTCGTTTGGATGGGAAAAGTGAATGCGCGATTTGCAAATGGAGCTTTTTTAAAGGGGTAGTTCGGTATCTTCGAGTCGCGGAGTACGTATACGTTGTTTCGTTTATTCAAAAGCGTTTCTTCTTTTTAACGCTGCGCGTTCTCTCTTTTCTTTGGCTAATATGAAATATTTTTCAATTTCCGCGGTTCGCGAAAACCTGAGTGTGTGCCCGGTACTCGTTCCAATTCAACTTAGTTGTTTTTTTATACTTATTTCGTTAATTAGAAGTGACCCTTTCCGCTGCAAATACGAATCCAAACATGAGAAAGCTGGCAAATTGTCAATGCGTAAAAGACACGTTTCAGAATTATTTAGAGCACTTATATTTCAACGAAAGAAAAAACACGAGGAATGTCGGTAGGTCGAGCGATGTTGTCCATTGTTGAGTTGAAAAATTTGAACGGATTCCGGCGTAACTTTTTACGAAATCCCAGGCATCCAAGCTTTTAAAGCGGAGCATTGTTACAGCGTGACAGGAGAAATTACGTCGAAATTATTTTTAGCTGGTGTCGAGTGCCGGTTTTTCGGCGTGAATCCCGTGGATCCATGATTTATCGTCGGCGAAGATAAAAAAACTTCGCGCGTGGATCCGAGTTGGATCGGGGAATCCCGGTGGATTGGAAGCGTTCCCAACTCGGTGCGCTCCGATGTCGCCGGGGCTAATGTCCGAATGAGAATTCTAATCTGAGAACCGTCGGGATTCGCCGATCGTTTTTTCTTCCGAACGAACAGAGAACGATTTTTCCAACCGCTGTAAATCTCGCTCATTTTTCCCCTCCTTTTTTCCGGTTTTTGTCGAAACCGGCTGCGCGAGGCTTTACCGGAAACATAAAATCCATCGATACAATATAGCTCGCTAATATTTGCATCTTTGAAATATCGCGGTAAAAGGGTTTATTTTATGCTTCGATTCTTCTGCTGTTCCGATAATCTTGTACAATGACGTAAATCTTTTATCACGTTCGCGTACAACGAATTTTCCTTGGAGAAAACGGAATAGCAACGTCGAAAACATTCTCACTCGATATTTAAACAACCGTGTACACTGTAAGTGAATGTACATAATCGAGAGGAGAGAGAACGATCAACGAATATCCAACCGCGATCCGAAATACGAGGCGCCCGTTGAAAGAAATCCATGGAGAGGTTTTGGTCGGTGCGGATGTATCCCGTGTATTCATAGCCTTACCCCTGTTCTTCCTGGTGACTATGAATTAATTTTGGCCTCAGTCTGCGCCTGCACGGTGCTCGGCACCGTGGATCATCTATTCCCGAAGTGTCTCGTAATTTCTCGAGCAAGAACGCGACGAGAACTACCAAGTATTCGCGACGGTACCACCATCCCTCTATAGAACGTTAACAAGGACCGCGATCATTATTCTTTCCCTGATGTCTGTCGAATGCCTCTTCTTGTCACGAGCTCACGGTTTCGTGGGCGATATTTTTGGGAGCAGTGACTTCCGTAAATGAGTTTTTAAATCGGGATCTTAGAACGTCCACGGTGGTACGCTTTGATATCACTTCGGAAATAGGGCCAGAAATAGAATCCCCGCTTCTACTGTAAATGTGCGAAACGAAAATAGAGAAGAATTTTTATAAATATCGCTAATAGCGTTATTTTCTCTGAAATTTCTCGGAGGCCCTTTAACACGTTGACTACCACGTTGGTCACTTGTGACCGGAGATTGTTTCCTCGATGGAGCCATAATGGTCGTCAGTGACCTCAAGTGTAGAGTAATTAAAATAAAATGAATATCGTCAGCTAAGAATTTCGAAAATCGCAGCTAACTACACATTATTTGAAATTAAAAAGAAAACAATAACAATGATAAAGCATACAAATTTTCAAAAAAAAATTTCGATCGGTCCAGCGACAAGAGAATAACCTAAGGTGGTACGTTAGGCGAACCACAGTGCCTGCTATTACTTTACCGCAACAATGCCCGGTTACCTTCGCGCGATATACCCTCGAAAGAGCCGAGAGTGCGCGGATCCATTCTCGAAACAAAATGCGGCGACACGTGTCGCGTGTACATACGCAGCGTTCACGGAATATCGACGGTTGTCTTCTCGGAATAATTTCACGGGATGTAGCCGGGGTCTCGTGGAAGAAAATCTGGTACCAGTGGAAAACGCGTGACGGACGGGAAGAGGAAGCGTAATACCCGTGGACTTACGATAGGTTGGTCTTGGTATCATATTCCAGACGGCCTTGAAGCCCTTGCCCTCGATGCTATCGTCACTGTGGAATCGTAGCCAGAGGTATCTCGTCTTCGACGTGATCTCTGGGGGGAAATTCGTGCCGCAGAAGTTGCCGAGGAGATTGGAGTAGCCATGCTGGCCGTCACGTACCTCGAGGAAATCGTAACGGCAGTCGGCGCTCTCCTCGAGCTTGAACTCGTCTCGAAAGTCGAGCTTCAGCAGCATACCTTTGTCAGCTGAAACGAGAGAGGAGAAATACCAAACGTTAGACACCGTTGGAACATTTTCTACAAAGATGTTCTGCCGTACCTTCCAGTCACTTTTCCGTTCGTTTAAGCGACTCTGTTATCTCCAGAGTGAACGTTCTGTCTTTGATTCTAGGTCGTGATTATTTTGGCAATATTCCGGCGTTGGTGTAACAAATTGGTTTATTTTTTGCGCAAAGAGTGCTTTCGTCTGGAAGTTTTTGTCAGTGACGTATATACACGCAGAGTGTGCTTCGCAGGATGTACTTTAGGGACTAGAGTCTAGGCGATGGTATCACAGATGCTACCCGGAAAGGTGTGTAACATTCTTAGCCCGTCTTTCGAGGAAAAACGCGACCTAAAAGCAAAGTAATGTCGGGCGCGCATTGTTCGAATCCCTGTGCACGGATCCGGCTGCGATTGGTCGGCTTACACGACAAATATTCTAATGTTGTTAGCCTCGAAACACACCTTGGCAACCTGCCAGGTTATCCGTCCTAGCTGTCGTGCAATTTTTTCTCTCGAGATCTCTTTTCGTCGAATAGTTTTGTATCGACGAACGAAGAAAAGAGAAGCGAACATCCTTTCCTCGTACGTCCACCAATAACCAAACAACCCATCTCGCCTTCCCTCCGTCCGATAAATCCACTCTAACGCCCCCTTATCGCTAACCATAACCCCAAGCATGTAGCGGCAATAGAAGGGAGTGCAATTTAAAAAAAAATCTCGAGGCTCGATCGTGCAGTTTTTAGCACCATAGGCGGTGGACGTAAATTCCGTCGATACGCGATCCGATCTGTAATAATGAGGCGGTTCGGATGCAAACGCTGCTTCATTTTCTCCGCACGTACCAAGATTACCCGGGGAATTATTCGCCGATATTCACTTTTATCTCGCCGATGCCGGTGAGCAACGATTTCGTGGCTCTTTCTACGTACACGCGCTTCCATACTTTTCGCGTTAACCGCGTTTCCGTTCGATCGATTCGCGAGTTCTCTCTGTACACAGCCAGGGGCTTCCCGCCCTCAGATACAATTATAACAAAGATTCGAACAGGTATTCCGAAATCGGATACACAAGCGTGAAATTGCTGCTACATTCCGGGAGGGTTCGACGAATGTGTGTTGCGAGTTTATACGGTAACTCTGCCGGAGATCGGTAAAAAGGTGAAATAAAAGCGCAGCAGAGGGGTTGGTACGCTGTACCGGATCATGGCTTGCTCGTAAATATCCGTTATTTGCGAATAAAATATCTCGTTCGCATTGCCGTTTGTGGAGCGGGCAACAATTTATGCGCGTACATCCCTCTCTTTCGCCCCAACCGGTTTCTGATAGGCGTGGAAATTATCGACTGAAAATTATACCGCCCCGGTGTGTGTTCTTCGGAGTTTACCGAACGATCGAACGCGACTCGTTCAAATAGATCGATCATTTTTCGACAATCGTTTCTGCGAATTGTTCTTCGGCGGATAAATATTCGGGAGGTACATACATGTATACCTACCACCTCTCTGTCTGTAAGCCAACGAATGCTTCGATACTTCCGAGAAAAACGTTTATACACAGACAGGTATTGATATTAATAAACGATCGCACAGGCGATTTCGCGATAAGCGAGGTATTTTCAGCGGTACCTGCGTCTCTCTCGGCAACTCGTGCCCACGATTATGTTATTATTTGTTATGAATGAAATTTTGGCCATCGTCTGAGGATCGACCCACGCGTGCCACGCTCTCATTTTCGTTCGAAGGACGTTCTCGCATACCGTCGCGACACCCTGTGTCTCTCGAATAAAAATCACCATTGACGAGCACGAGCAGGTTTCCGTCTTCGTTGAAAACGTCGTTGTTCCTGGCGCGAAAATTGCTCGTCTTCGCCGCTGCATCGACATCGAACAACGAACGTTCTTGGTCCCTACTTGAATGGGGCGAGACTCAAGATGCTTCGAGCTCCCGTTTAGCGAAACCGCGTTGCTCACCGCGAAGAAAGGAAAGAGCGGTGGTAAAAAGCGACGTAGAGAAAGGGGAAAAAGGAAGGAAGAAGAAAGGTCTGCGTCGCGACCATTTTCTCGATGGGGAATAGGGAGGAGGGAGGAAAGTATAAAGCGACGGCAATCCCACCCCAACCGCTGTCCGCTTTCGCATGGAAATACCGGTATTCCAGTCGCAATGGAAACGGTCGATCGCATTTTTCAGCAGATCCAAATCCGTCCTCCCGTCGGTCTACCACTTTCACGCTTCATTATCCTCTGATTGTGTCACTTTCCGTTCCTCGCGTTTGTAATCATCTTGGAAATTAAGGGCGATTCGTCCAAGTAGTCTCGACAATTCTCCATTATTATAACCCTTACGACTTATTTATATAATCACCGGTTCGATTGTTTCCCACCACCCGTGTCGCGTCGCGTTCTCTTTTGACTGTTCAAAAAGCTCGCGTTCACTAGGTAACTAATTCGAAATTTTGTCTTGCTCGGAATGTTAGCAAAACGTCGAGTGCGTCACGAAACGATTGACAACTCGTTTCAAAACTCGAGTATTCGATCGCGACTCGAAGTGTACTTGTTTCTCCTCGAACGGCTGGAGAGTGTCTTGTTCACTCGAGAGAATCTTTGCGAATGTGTTTTTCCATCCCCGAATTTTTCTGGAGTCGGCAGTGACTCCCCCGCTGATTGGTTTTTCACGTATGCAGAAATTACCAACCAACGTGCCCCTTAGGTGTCACCCACCCTTCCTTTGCGCCCTTAGCGCGCTTTTCCTTGGAAGCAGTGAGGCCATACCTGCGGGTGCGTGGCATCTTCGCTGTCCTTCCGTGACCCAGGTCAACCCTCGGCCGAGAGTGCCGTTATACGCGCGTGTGGATTGACCCTTCAGAAATACCTGGTTTATGACACGTCTTTGGTTATCGAGGACGCGGAAAGTCGAAATTCTAAAGGCATTGTTCTGTAAGAAATTACTTACTTTTTCGCGGAGCTACGAAGCGTCTTTGTTCTCAAAAATAACCTTCAAGTGCGAGCGTGCCATAAACCCGGTCAACGAAGACCCCACGCGTTCCGTATCTGCGCGACGGAACAACCCCTGCCTCCTTTGTTGCGGTGTAATTTCCAGTTGCGCGAATTCGCACAAAGTGGAAAGTTTCGCGACACCGAACAATTAAACGGTGTTTGACGCCAGACGGGGGTGGGGCAGGGAAGAAAACGGTGAATTTCCATCGATAGGGACGTACCGCGGAAATACGCCGGCAGAGAAATTTCGAGCTGTAATATCTATCCACGGGGGTTTAAGCACCTCCCGCCTGTTGTCGATGTCTAACGAGAACTTCTAGACGACGTTTCAGCCACCGTGAACGCCGTTTACGTATACCGTACCAACGGCTTCCGTCGTCCTCCGCAACTTCTCCGTGTTGCGAGATCTCGAAGGAGTGCGTCGCCATACGCGCCCAACCCCTTTATCGTTATTACTGGTATGCCCGTGCGCTCCGTGTTGTACACGATGCAATCCTACGAGACTCATCTGTCTCGGAATTCTGCCACTTTCCGTCGACTATCAGTCTTCGTAACGTTTTCCACTTCGCTGCGGCGATAACGAGTGTTCTTCCGAGAATAGAATCGGCAAATTTTTCCGAATTGCATATATATACGCGAGGACGACTATTTTCCGTGCTTAATCTTCCACTCGAGGAAGTTTCCACAAGTGACGAGACCCTTGTAAACGTATTTTCGCACATTTTCGATCGTTACTCCCGGAGCGTTACGGGCGAAAAAGTCGAGGGGTAATTTCCACGCGAACGTGGACAGGTTTCGATCCCACGGGTAGCCGAAGAAATTTATCGGTAACTATTGGGCTACGTGGCTTTCCACGATATTGATTAACCTCCTCTTCCACTTCGAGAGGCTATCAAGGAGGTATCGATAAAGATAAGAAAGACCTCCTCGGGTGGCTCGGTGAAAAAATACCCGAGTACGAACGTGCTTCGCTTTTGAATATCTGGGAAATCGATCGTCGATCTTTGCACTAATTTCACAGGTATCGAAGGGTTACCTTTTGACGAGTGGAATGCTCTGAATACAAAAATTTACAATTTCTCCAAGACTGCGGATGGTTAACAAATTTTCCACATAGTAAGTGGAGTTGTAGAAGAAACCTCTATCTGATATTTCCCCCGCCTGCAGCACACATTCCGCGGAAATTCATTGGTACGAACATTGGGTAAAGAGCAACAACGCGTTCGCCAGAAAACGGTTCTCGTGTAGAGAAAAATAAAGAAACCTGCGAGGTTTTTAGCCGACATGGAGAATTTCTGGCCCTTGGCAATAACGACCAGCGTCTCCCTCGGGTAGGTCATCGAATTTTCCTTAGGAGGTTCGTTGTAGGATAAGGGTGT